GATATTTTTTTGACATTTTCTAACGGTCTAACAATTGATATTTAAATGGCAAAAAAATGTGACCAGTAGGGTTACTGGCAGCAGTTAAATGCCTGTTATTTGACCGTTTTTTGACATTTAAAAAAATCCGAAATAAATGCATTTAAACGTTCCCAGTTATAATGGCAAAAAACGGCCTAAAAACGGGGTCAAATGTCATAAAAATGCCATTTAAATGCTTATTAACAGCGTATTAAATGGTATTTAATTGGCAATTAATTACACCGTTTTCGGCGTCTTTGGTTCTTTTTCATTAGAGAAAAAATGTTTAACGTAGAAAATAGTTAAAAAAGACCAAGAGAGGGATCTTTATGCACTAAAAATACCAATTCGAAATTGAAAACACTTAGAAAGTTCGAAAATTTTCTTATCTTTTACGTATTAGCGCTACCTACAGCACATCAAAATTGAAAAGAAGCCGAGAAAAATACTAATGAAGACTGCTGAAAATAGTAAAACATAAAATATAGCAATTTTTTGAAGAGAGCAGATCCTGAAATGATCTCAAGGACTGTGTCTGAAAGTTCTTAGTAACGGCAACACAATTTTCTCACAGGAGCTGTGACACAATATTTTTTACTGTGTACTTGCCGAGTACCTACAGAAGAACTTGTGAAGTAAAAATAAGTCACTTTTATCTTCTAAATATCTGAAAACCTTTCCAGGACCCGCTGAAGACCCTGGAGAAATCCTCTGACGATCTCAGCAGTGTCTCTATTGAATTCTCCTTGGTTTCTTAACTAAAAACTTCTTTGCTGTAACTTTGCTTTACGTGCACCTTACACATTTGTAACTTATTATGCTGTACAATCTGGTGCTAACAGAAGTTGTTCAAATAAGGTTCATGATTCAGAAAAAAAACCGTGTTCAGGTTGCAATTCTAAAAATAAAATTGCGTTCTAAAAATTTTGCAGAAGTTTTGTGTCTCATCAGATCTACGGAAAGCGAGCCATTCTTCACAAAACACGAATATTTTTGCTTTTTCATCGATGGCTAGCTCACATTTATTGCCCTTGAAGAAATAGGAGTCACTTGACCTCTTTATTTTCATCTTGGAAACAAGGCATGGGATCTATCGGCAGCTCCTTTCTTACATATAACTCTTAAAAACTGTTGGAAGGTTATTGGTCACACTGAGTCTCGATCTTTTTTTGTTTGAGAAAGACTAGGAAACCTACTGAAAATCTACTTCGGAGAACAATAAAGATCTCAGTCTATTTCTTACAAAATTAAAAATCTCACATCCATCTATATAAGGCAATCAACAGTTAGATATCGCCTTAACGGATGATCCAAAAGAAATTGCAGTCTTGGTATTTTGGTTTTTCTCACATCTCTTAAATTGTAGATTATTCAGTTTTTTACCAAAAGATTCCCCATTCATTTCTCTACAAAATGTAGAAAGATGATTCTGAGTTTTGAGACTGCTTTAATTAAACAAAAATTGAAATGTCCTGCTAAAAACTTAAAATATTTAAATTTTTTCCGACGACAATTCGGATTTTGAATTCATTTAAAAGAGACAGGAAGATGTCGGGTCGTTCCTTGGCGCATTTAGATGTCCTCTTTCAGATGCTACATGATTCATTTTGTCCCCATCGGTCTGATGTGATAAAATGTGTAGTTAATCATTGGCAGCCATAATTGAACAGAATGTGCTAGCTAAGTTTTAGTATCTGGATTATTTTCAGAAAAGTCATATCAAACGTTTAACGCGTGAATCGATTAGATCGAACATTTGTCTTCAAAATGACTCAGGAATGAGCGTGATTGCTTCCTTTTTCACTGACCACTTCATTTTACGAATAGCTTCCAAATGCACGTTGAAAAAGCTGGAAAAACGGTTGTAGGGCTTTTGCGACGAATGATACTGAAAACACAGAAATAACGATAGAAAATCCACATTACAGCAAATCGGTAGAAAATTTTAAGGGTTACGTTTTGGCCTATTTGCTCTGGGCACGATGTATACGTTCAAGTTCATACTGACGAAACACACTTTTATGCGTTAAAATTTCTAAATTTTTAGGACGTTTCGGCTTTTGTTTAATCTAGGCAATCTCAAAGCTCAGGATCATTTTCTATATTTTGTAGAGAAATACATGGGGACACTTTTGATAAAAAAACGAACAATTTACGATCTAAGAGAGGTGAGAGAAACAAAAATACCAAGACTGCAGTTTCTTCTGGGCCACCCGTTATTCTCACCTTGAAAATCCTGAACGAGTTTTGCTGAAGATAAGAAAGAGACAGTGTAGTTGGCTCCACTTATTACGAAGAAGACGTCTTCACTTAATATGTTCTCTCGTCACTATATTAAAGTTTCCAGTCCTACATCAACCGCCTTCAAATCATAAACTACTGCAAAATTAGTAACTAGCTGTCAATACCAGACTTTCAGTCAAAGGGATATCGTCTCTCATATTTCTTAAACTACAGAACACAGAAATGAAATTTTACTATCTCCAGGGTAAATAGGCACTGGGATATCTTTCGAGCTTATATCTCATTCTCTGCCCTAGCGTATCCTAACCGATATGACAGTCTTTCTAACCATAAAGGTCGAAATATTCTACAACTAAATTTTTACACTCAGGCACTACTATCTATTAGTTTCACGTTGACGATAGTGACTAGTTCTAGAAATTTTATTTGTAGAATATCTTGACCGCCACATTCTGTAAAACAGTCAGATATTTGTTTTTGATTGGTCAGTTGTTTGGTCAAATACTGTGCATCTTTTTGCGTTCTTTGTTTATGTACTATTGCATTGTATACATTCGGCGTTTGTAGAAGCCAGAAACACTTGGTTGTTCCTCTTTATCGTCGATGTTAACGAATAACAGACTGTTTAGGTTCCGGGCGGGTATGCTTGATTCGCTATCTTTCGTACAGTAGTTGTATGATTTGAGAGATGGGGAATTGTTTTTCTAGTCTGTAGATGATCAAATGGATCAACTGTTTTCTGCAATGTTTCTGACTCGATGACGTTTTCTTTTGAATTCCTGGTTTTCTGAATGCCAAACTACCTGTGTATAGTCTAATTCCGAAATTATCTCAATAAACTAGTGTCAGAGTCCAAGAATCTGCAATTTTCTTCAGAACGGGAGCTAATTCCAAGAATATCAATCGTCGACCTTTCCACTTTTAGCTTAACTAATAAATAAAGAATTTCTGAAATGTTTTCATACACTTGTAAAAAAATTTACTTCACTAAACGACAGCAGAACTGATTCCGCTGACAGTAAAGCGTGCTGTGCATTTTATGGCTTGTAGGAGAATACATATAACTTTTTGGGGTGAAACTGTACATAGTACGCTTTAATGAGAAAACTTTGTGCTCCAAGTCTGACATTTCAAGAAATGATCGCATTTGGATGATAATAACACTCATTTCAGGAACAGTATGTTTTAAAGCTTTTGGTGCATTTTTTACCACACCTACGTAAATACTTTTTGTATAGAAAGCCATAATGTTTAGATAACATACCATACTGGTGAGTTTCGTTCAAAATAGTCGATTATTTTTGGTGCAAGTAAAAATAAAAACGGAAACGTTTGCCCATTTTGATTTGCACCCGCTTTCGAACCATTAAATCCCCCTTTGCAATGAGCCATTATTTCTCCAACCATCTAATGTTTCTAACAAAGTTATTTTTCATTGTGCGCGTTTTAGATGGATGAACCCTATTTGACATTCATTCTTGATCGTTTCGAAACCTATTTTCAATTATTACGATGTTCTAAGTGGTAAGTAATTTCATAGCATCGATTCTCCGTCGATAGCACTTTTCCTTGATTTATCGTTTTCTAGTGAGTGCGTGCCATTTGATTTTGTCACTACTGAATTAGGGCAAGAAGCCACTTTATGTCGGTAAGGCTTGTGCAAAGAACAGCTGAGTATTCCTAAAACAGTGGACAAATTTTTGTTTTATATTCTCCAGTTCGTGTGCAGAAAAACAGTTTATAAGCGGCACTATTGTTGATTATTCATCAATCAAAGTAAATTCTGTTTACAATTCTGCTATGCGCTCTCTGTGCGATCTTTTCGAGCAAGTTCAATATTTGGGTAAGTCATGTACTCATTAAGTAGTTTCGATAAGTTTTTAACATTATATTCATTTGCTCTAGTTTGTACACCGAAAACAAAAGACATTGAAGAACGAAAGCAGTCAATCAAACAAAAGATTGAGAGAATATTACCAGATCATATAAAAGCTAAAGTTGCTGAAAAACAAATACCACTGCTGCAACCATCACGTCAATCATTAGAGGAGATAAGTGAAAATGTAAATAATCCTGGATCTCTCTTATTAATCAAAAAAAGTGTACATAATGTATTGGAAGATAATGAGAAAGAAAATTCGAGTCAACCTAGTACAAGTCAAGAATTTCCAGTTTTACCATCTGCTGAAAATATCGATACGAGTGAACGAAGACAGACATCAAGAAATATTAAACGGAAACCAGATGATGATAATCACCAACACAAAAAACTCAATGAGACAAATTCGAAAGTGAATGTAGAAAAGGTGAAACCAAAACAAAAAAAAGATAAAGCAAAAATAATTAAAGAAGAGCTCAAAACTTCCGTTGCAAAACATCGAGTTCCAACGAAGAAAGAATTAGAACGAACAGCATGTTTAGACCAAGGTAAGTTCCGAAAAATGGTCTCGCAAGTGTAGCCTTCGATTAAGTATTTTACTAACATCTTTTCAAAATGAAGCAACTTGATTTTTCGTGTTTTAGATAACAAAAAAGAGGAGCAGAAGATAAGCACATCACCAGCGAAAAAATTAAAATTAGATACTGATGACATGCAGTTGAAACGACCACGCCGAAGTCGAACGAAAGATAGTAAAATAACACCATTGAATACAAAAGTTTCAAAAAAAGTTACAACAAACAAGCGAAAATCGGCGTCAGATTCAGAACAGGATGATAAACGAACACTTTCATCCGAAGCAAAGAAACATAAAAATGAATCCTTATCACTAACACGTTCAAAATCATCGTCGAGAAAAAAAGATAACCCTAATATGGCAAAAACACCTCTGATTAAAAAGCAACAGTCAAAAAACGTGCAATTAACGGTACAAGATGATAATGGCGAGGACGCGTTGATTTTACCGTCCTCCAGTTCAACAAAAAGTAAAAGTAGAATTCTATCGACGTCACCACAAAAAACAGCTGTTGATGGATCAATTGTTTCGATTCGTTCAACAAAAAAAATGAAGAAAAATATTCCAGAAAAAATTACATTGTCAACAAAACGTCAGAATCCAAAAACAAATAACGAAACTGTTGCTATGACTGTCGATTTTAATAAAGAGGGCGTTGATAAGAATGATAGGACAAGTGAGCAGGAAGAAGATGGAAAAAAAACAATAAATGTAAGTTTAGTGGTTCATTAAGATATTAGTCTTTCAACATCTTAAGTGAGATGTTAGAATCTCAATACGTCATAAATGCAACTGTTATAGAATAATTCTTCTACTTCATCGCTGTTTTTAGGATAAGCGTACACCATCAAAAAACAAAATATCTAAAGATGATAAACGCAATAAGAAGGGCGAAACGTTGATTCATCAAGCTGTTATTAAAGGTGATATTGAACGTGTGAAAAAATTAATCATGAACGGTCATGCTGTAAATACAAAAGACTTTAATTCATGGACAGTAAGTTATGCCCTATGTGATCTTCTTCAACTAAATCGATTTTCGTTTACCATAGCCGTTACATGAAGCAAGTGCCTCAGGTAATATTCCATTGATGGAAATATTAATTAAAAGTGGTGCTAATATCAATGCTCCCGGTGGAGAGGATCATTTACCGCCCCTACACGATCTTATTATAAATGAAAAGCCAAATGATTGCATCAAGATTTTGATAGAAAATGGGGCTGATCCCTCTGTCAAGTAAGTTTTTTTCTAGGTGATTCAGATAGTTTTCTCTTTATGGTTGTCTCGAACTCAGTATTAAAGCTTTTCATAATTACGAGAGTTGGATGCGGAGACTCGAGATTTTCTCTGTTGTACTGTATGACAACATACTACTGTTTTCTTTTTCTTTTTCCTAGAGATAAAAAAGGTCGTACTGCTTTTGATCTTGTTTCTTCGTCGAATAAAGCCCTTCAATCAATTCTTACCAAAGCAGCAAAATTTGATAAAACAATTTCTAGTACGCCCATTGCTCCACCAATTGGTCATCAACGACGGCAAAAACAGCAAACATATTCTATTTTGTTTACGGGTTTTGAAAATACGCGTCGACAAGCACTTGCATCAGCTGTTCAGAAAGAACTAAACAAAAAAGGAGTGGCTACAACAAAATCAACAAATGATAGTGGTGTGTAAAAAAAATAAGATGCAACGATATGAGATGGCAAAATTGAGATTAACACGTAATCGATATTAGTAGTAAAAAAAACTTTCTTATCCAAAGTTTTCTACAACTGCGATTTCAGACATAGGAATTCTGTACTCTATTCTTTAATTGTATGTAAGCTGAAGTAAAATTTGTTTATTTACTTTTAGTAACACACGTTGTCTGTGAAAACTCAGAAGACACAGCTTATCGTACAATCAATTATTTGCGTGGAATACTATTGGGGAAATGGATTCTTTCAGCTGAATGTATGGATATTTGATTAGACACTATTTGTTTTGTTGGTATTATTTTTTCATTGTAATTTAGGGATAGAAGAATGTGTCAGACAAAAGCGATGGATAGAAGAAGAGAAATATGAAGTTAAAGGATCTGCCAGAGAACCAAATAGTGGCGGAGCAAGAAGAAGTCGATTAAAACATGAAAAAAATGTAAGTATGCAAAAGAATATAATTAGCTATTTTTATGTAATTATATCCTGTAATTTGATTGTTTAAATCAGTCTTCTTTTTGTGAGCAAAACTATTTTACAAATCGATTTATCTAATAGTTTCATCTTTTACTTACCAAATGCTTTGAAAAATATGATTAAATTATCATCACATATTTTTTAGAGCGAATACCTGAAAATGCGATTGTACTGTTTATAATTTATTATGTAAATAATTATTGAATATTTAGGAGCCGGCATTATTTGCAAATTGTGATTTATATTTACACGGTGAATTTAGTACTTATAAAAAGGATGATGTGAAAGAATTGGTTAAAATATGTGGTTGTAAAATGTTAACACGAGAACCAAAATTACATCGGTACGTTCTCTTTTTTTCATGCATTAAGTAACGAACGAATAATCCCATAGTTTATCATACTTCGCATCTATGCGAGCTAGTAATTATATACAATTCTAAACTAATATAAACTACATTATCTGAATTGAAAAAGAAAGTAATAATAGCTGTCACATTTTAAATAATGATCGAATAAATCAGAATTCTTTTTTTATACATTTAGTATTGACAGTAGCGAAAATAATGAAGATGACTCTCCACGAATGACATATATTATCTATGAATTAAATGTACCAGAGATTTTATTAGATAATAAACGAATTAAACATGTCGAATTGATCTGGTTTTTAACATCCATTGATTATTATCAAATACAAACGTGAACGACCTATATTTTTGTACAGAAATCTAGAATAGATTTTGCTATTCCCGTTTTTTTTATACATGTGCAATTGTTCTATACCTAGTCGTTCTTTCTATTCTATTATTTTTCTCATTCAACCTGGTCCAAAATTAGATACAAATTTGACTTTATTTTTACTTTTCATATTTTTTATACTTAACTTTTCAATAGATACAAATACTTAGGAATAGATTCAGATAAATGCTATTTTTACACATTATTTTTCTTGTTAATATTTTATTGATATTAAAGCTTATTAATTCTAAGTAAGATCCAAGATTAACATGTGTATTAAGAGAAGTTTCTCTTGACATATTTGTGCTTTTCACTTTCTCTATTTGGATATTTTATTCTATTTTAGATTTATCAAACGATGTAATATTATGGTTACATTCACTGTGTTTGACATTAGGAAAAAACAAATAAAGATGGCATAAACTAATCTAATTTTGTTCCCGCTTATCATGACACTAAGCAAGGTACTAGTATATTTTCTGAATTAGCATTAACAGTTTAGAAAAGCAAGACAAATCAATTATTAATATAAAATTAAATATCATTTAAAAGAATTTTTTCTTCTGACTGGTTGATTCCTGTCATATGAATAGTATTCTTATTCTTTAACTTTATCTAGATGATCGATAATGAAACCATTGCCGATGCCAAATATTCGTTGTTAAAGAAGAAAATATCTAATGGTAAGTAAGTCCTTAGTGTTTTATATGCTATATTAATTTCTTTCTATAACTGACTTTTTTTCAACAAAAATTATTTTTAATAATTATTGAGTAAAAAAACTTTTTATTTTGTTTTTCATTTTCTTTTATAGGATAGAAGCAGGACCGTTTCTCTCCTTTGTTACTAGCTAGTTGAATATTCGAGCTTGATTACAGCAGCGAATGAGTTACTAGCGACACAAATCAACGAGAGCAGCAGTATTAGCACTGAGCAAAATGAGTGGACACAGTTACATGTATATATATAAATATATATCTATTACTAGATTAGACATACATTACACAATTACTAGTCACAAAAAAAATATATTTTTACCGACAGAATATTTTCAATAATAAATGATTGATAATTTTATTTTTCTAGTTATCTTTTGTAATATAAATTGTATTTGTATATGTGATTCATTTCCATATTTTCATTAATTTGTTTTTTTTGTTTATTTCTACCTTTAAGAGAGATAGTTAACTTTTATCGAATACCAAATCAATTTCCATCATTTTTTTATTGTAATAGATATCTGTAAAAAGAGGGGTTCTTTGTGTGTAACCCCCCTTGATCTTTAGACGATTGTGTCCGTCCTGAAAATGCAAGTTCTTATTCAGCATTGGAAATGTTAGATGAAAATATTTTTTATAGTATTTTTTATTGTTGGGTTAATCAACATGATTTCTTATCAGTTTTCAGCAACATATGAGCATATGTTGCAGCATAAAAAACAAAAGTGGTTGATTGTAGAATTTTTCTCGTTATTGTTATTGATACAATGCCTAGTGTATTTTTTTAGATGAAATTTACCAGCCGTTTGATCTGAATTATTTATCATTATTATTATCTTCTAACAGTTATTAGCATAATGGCAACAGAAATTGTTCAACCACCTGTTGATGATCAAGAAGTGAAAAATGAAGAACCGGTTACATCAATTGAAACAACAGCAACAACTACAACAACAGAAGAAACATCACCACAAAATGGCTTTTCAACAACAAATAATAATTCTAATGGATTGACTAACACTGATATAACAAGAGAACAATCATCATCATCAATCCATCAATCATCATCAGAAACACAAATTAACAAAAACGATTTGGAACCAGAAGCTTTAAGGAAAATTTTTATCGGTGGTTTGAGTTATAAAACGGAAGATCAACAATTTCGTGATCATTTTTCAAAATATGGTGATATATTAGATTGTATTATTATGCGTGACAGAGAAGGCAGAAGTAGAGGTAAATTAAAAAATTTTCATCCATTAGTCTTTTCTGCAAACTGTTTCCGTTTTTTCCATAGGTTTTGGTTTTGTTACTTATTCAACATCGGCAATGATCGACAATTTGATGGCAAATAGACCTCATGTATTGGATGGCCGAGAAATTGAACCAAAACGAGCTGTACCAAGAGAAGAAGCGAGCAAACCTGAAAGTGCAGCAACAGCAAAAAGTAAGTCTTTTCTTTTCTTTTTTTTAAATTTATTTATGATGTAATACTTCTGTATTTTTATTTATTTCTATAGAGTTGTTCGTTGGTGGAATTCGAGATGGTATTACTGAAACAGATTTAAATGCTTATTTTACAAAATATGGAAATGTTATTGATTCTGTTGTTATGAAAGACGCAACAGGCAAACAAAGAGGATTTGGATTTGTTGAATTTGATGAGTAAGTACTTAATAGGCTTTTGTGTGTAATTTTTGGTCACCAGATGAGTTTTTTAGTATTTACAAAATATTTTGATCAATGGTTCTAACAAATATTTGGACAAAAGTAATTGATAGGAATGTTGTTTGTGTTTTAGTTATGATCCGGTAGATAAAATCGTTTTGGAAAAGCATCATGTTATTAATGGTCAAGCAATTAATGTCGAAAAAGCCTTACCTAAAGATCAAACAGGCAGAGGTCGTGGAGGAATGGGAAATCGAAATCGTGGCGGCCCTAGTCGTTCAAATTATGGCAATAATCAAGGTTACGGACGAAATGACCAAAATTCTTTTGGTGGCGGCGGATATGGTGATCCTCCAAATCATAATATGATGGGTGGTGGTGGAAATTTTAGTAATCCGAATATGGGTAATTTTGGTGGTAATCAGCCAGCACCTATGGGTGGATATGATAGTGGTAAGAGTGCTTTTTTTTTACACTAGAGCATTTAGTTTTTTCCTTCACGTCAGCTGTGAAAATTAGCTAGATGATGATTAGACTGAAGATTATGATATTCTCAAAAACATTTAGTTTTTTTTATAAAGTTTTATTGTCGCATTAACAATGTTGGTAAATTTATCCAATTTAGGATTTGGTGCTAATTTTGGTGCATTTGGACAGTCACCAGCTGGAGGAATGAATAATATGGGAGATGGTGGTTTTGGTCAGAACTATCAAAATGATATGGGTGGTGGGCCAAGTAAGTTATAATATCTTTAGTTCAATGATCTACTATCATCTTTTTCTATCCAATTGTTTTATAGACTAACTTATTGTGTATTTTAATATTTTAGTGAGAAGAGGAGGTCCAGGTGGAAATCGTGGTTCTCCCTATGGTGGCCCTGGTCGTGGCGGCGTCAGAGGACGTGGCGGTCGCGGTCGTTAAATCTAAAACATGTAAATATCCACGAACAAAACACATCTTCATGAAATCCAAACTTGTTTTTTTGTCTCTTTGTATGTTTCATTATTGTTTTTTTTGTTTTTTCATCGATTCAACCTTTGATAGATGAAAACCTTCAACAGTTGGATGAAGTTTCATTTTTCATGGTTTGTTCGGGGAAATCTAAAAGACATTTATTGTGGCCATTATGTTGTTTTTTTACTATGTGCTACGTTGTTATAAACTTCAATTTGTTAATTCATTTTGTCCCTTGTGTATTCATCTTTTCTTTATTCGGTTGTTTTCAGATGAAAAGAAAGTAAATAAAATGTTTTTGTATTATTCGTAGCAGCAATAAACCATTACAAACAAGCAAGTTAAAACTGCTGCTGTTGCTTATTTAGCTTAACGACTTTGGTCCATACTGATAACTTTGCTACTCCTATCGCATTTGAAGTGAATGATCCGTTTAATTTTAAGCTAACTCCTATTATGACAATTTTACTTGATAAAAATTTAAATTATACAATCTCTCTTATTGTGTTAAAGCACTACAATTGACTCATATTAAGCGACTTACGATATATCTGATGAATTGCCATTTAAATGTACATTTGTGCAAAAGTGTCATCTATTTCGTTAGAAGGAATGGATCCAGTAATTTTGCCAAGACGACATCCCGTGAACAACCATCAGTCCATTCTTGACGTGATAATTTTTCATCATTATCTTTATCAAACATCGTCATAATTGTGATAACTTGTGCTTCAAGCTCTACTTCGCTTATATTCAAAATGCAAAATAGCCAACGTAAAACTGTTTTTAATTCATTAATATCAATAAAATTATCTTTGTTGTGGTCATAAATTTCGAATGAATAATTTAATTTGTTTTCATTGTTACCTTCGATCTTAGCGATATAATCATTAATAAATGTCGTTAATTCTATTTTACCATCGTGATTTTTATCAAATATTGAAAATATCCGCTCTGCAATATAATCAAAATATTTTTCATTGTTTTCGTCGATTATATAATTTGTATGATGGAGTTCTTTTATCATTTGAGATAATCCTTTTTTATCAAGGTAACCATCCGAATAAGTTTGTCGAAATTTATCGAACCATTGTTCAATATCCTCATCATTTTTATCAGTAATTTTTTTCAATTTTTCAAAATCTTTGTCGGATAAATTCACATTAGTTTGGTTTTTCGAATTTCTAGTTCCCATAATACAACTAACTCTCTCTAAAAACAAGTGAATTGTTAGTTTGATGTTTCTTACATATTATATATAGAATCGGTTAGAATGACCTTGTATTTTTTTTTCTCGAAACACATTGGGAGTTTGTGATGTTATATATCGTTTAGCGGGAGAAAAGAAAGAAAATATTCCAGAACCTATATTATATTACTATTATTAATAGTGTGCTCTTGATTTTTAAATACCAAAAGTATTGTTTCATTACCTTGATAAATAACTATTGTTTCATTTTTCAGTACTTAGAAAAAGTTGTCGATTGTAGGAATGATTAGCAACGATAAGCTAATTGATGTGCTATATATTTAATTAAATATAACGATTTGGCCAGCTAACTCTGCTATCAAAGTGTAATTCCGTCACAGCTTTTTTGCATTTTATTTCTCGTATAATTTTCAAACGACAAAATGCCCTGAGTCCTGGATGATATCAAGATCACAATAGTCTATCTCCCTGCTTCACGAGGTTTTTAAAACCATGATCAGTACTGAGTAAAATTCAAATTGCTAAAACTTTTGAATGTTCGTCAGAGAAAGAAGATGCAGTGAAGTGTAAAAGTTCAAGCACAAATGGTTGAGTTTGGACTGAGCTTTTTTGGCTTTGCGTACAAATAGCGTTAACTTATTAGTGAAGAAGAGAATTGGAAAAAAAGTTGAAAAGTGACGTAGACTTTTCATGGACTTTTCAGCGATATTAAACGAAGGTGTCACTTTAGTCAGAGCTGCGCTACACTCCTAATGTTTGACTCCTATTCAACTTTCCTATTTGCGGCAACTTTTACATGACAAGATCAAGGGAGATCTTATGTTTAGGAAGAGTTTTCTAATTCTAATATGTCAGCCCCTTTACGTATTTCCACTAGATTTCACGTGATTACTGTAAAGGTTGACATCAAACATATGAGGGTCTCAGAAAGCTGATATGGAGCGGATAAAAAACGCAAGTAGATGACACGGTTTCTGTAGTCTTAGATAAAGTAAATTTGATTTTGTCCTATGTTTTTATACATCGGATGTCTTTATTGTTTCCAACAGTATATAGTTCGTGAAATCCAACTAGGCATTTACTTTTCCTTGACGCTTATATTACAGAGAAAAAAATCAAATTCTTTATTACTGACCCTTAGATACTCGAAAACTTTGATAGCAGTGTTATTGTAGATCATGGACTTACCTTTAGAGACCTACTGGATATCGAGGTAAAAAATGAATTCTTTCAAAAGTCACCCATTTCTAAATGATGCCCGATATTAAACATTTTTAAAATTATTTTATTATGTTTCTTGAATATTAAATACAAATAGTTAAAACTATATTAAAACGATAAACAAACAACCATAAAGAAGCCGTCATGTTTTTATACATTTCACTGTTATGGGACCTCGCGAAATGATATTTGAGACACAAGCAATTCAATGCGTATAGATATTTTTTGAGTAAAACGTGCAACAAATGATAAAAAATGAAATTCATGAAAATGACCATTGATGAATGAGCATGTGTGTAAGGGAGAGGGAAAGAGAATTGGATAGACAAGAAGAGAGAATGAGAGAGAAAGAAACACAGACAAGGTCCCATAAACATTATTTTTGTTTTCTTCTACACATAGAAAAACCTCACGACATTACAATCGATGCTGAGCAAAATAATTAGATAAACAGCTTCAATTTTTCGACAAAAAAAAACGACACCTAGTAAACTCAACCTGGTATTTACAAAATATTGTTTTATTCGCATAGTTGCAGAAAAAAAACGATTGCGGTACGTTTTGGCCCAGTAATGAACGATTCTATATACATACAAAAGAGTGAAGTAAATATTAGAGAAGAAGTAGACTAAAATATTTTCGGGAATAAATGAAAAACACACAAGCTACGAACAACATTAATTAATATATATTGTAAAAAATAAACATTTAAGGGATCATCATTGAGAATTTTCTTAACACACAAATTCGATCGATTTTCGACTACGATAATAGTTGTTATTCAAACTTTTGTTTTTCGTTCGATTTTATATCTGACTTTACGCGCGCAATTAAAATGTATTATTTTTATTTAAACCAGGTATAATCCACATGAATATCCATGTTCGTTTCATATAAAACTTCGTATTTCTAAATAAAAGAACAAGAGAAAATAGAACAGAAGTAATATATTTTTTCTGTCTATTCTAACTAATTTTTGATGATTAATGAAGCTTCGATCTGAATCAGTAGGTCTAATAAACATATCTGATGTCACTACAGATCTCTTCAAACTAGTAAAACGAGAGCAGATACTTTGGAATTAATTCTAGCTATCCATATGTAATACTCGATGAAACATAGACCTAACATAAACATGGATATAATGGCTGCCAATAGGGCGAGTATGATTTTTTCCTAAGCAAATATTAGAGCAAATTTTTTATAATTTTACTTACCACATTAAACTAGTTGTAATGCTTTATTGTGTGAATGGATCGATAAAAACTACTAATTTAACTTAACTATCAATAATGGAGTCCAAAACCTCAACCATTCCATCCGCCATTTGGTTTTAATTGGGTCATATGTTTTCCACAACTACCACCACATCCCTAATCGTGTGGCACAGTACAGCTGTACCATACTACTCTTTCTTCTGTTCCACTCCCTTCTTTCTTTTAACTACTCCGACTACTGCATAACTACTCTTCTAAGTATCAAGTCTTTGTCTTGCTTTTTACTCAAAAGAAAGAAAAAATATATATAGACGCAACAATTATTTAGCTTTCTTTTTTTTCCCCTCTCTCCGTTTTCTTTTCTTTGTCTCATTCAATTCTTTCTTTCGTATGTTTAATGTACGAATATTTTTATAAAAATTATCAATCTCTGTCGTGTCGGCGGCCGTTATAAACTAGTTTTCCGTTGAACAGAGAAAAATAAATAAATATATATAATCAACGGCACAAAATAAAAGGATGTATATCACTGCTCTATATACGCATACTTATCATAGCGACGGTATTCTAACTGTGAAAAGAAAAGAAAAGAACTTGGTCCATCGTTCTAAAGTATACTTACGATGGGAGAAAAGAAAAATGTAGACCGATTATTAAAAGTAAACTAAGAAATGTACTCAGAATTTTTTTTTTTATCCATTCATATTTGAACCGTATAACTGTTTTGTTTTAGCCACGTAACTGCTTTTTGATTATCACATATGACTATTAGTGTGATGATAGTATACTACATAATCAAGAACGAACAAAATGAACATTGTGATGATGAATCCTCTACATATATAAATAGAAAACTGAAAGAAAAGAAAAGAAAAGAAAATGACAAAAACTGTATAACAACGGCTAGTACTGCACAAGACATGGTCAATAGAGGTTGATCGAACATCAGCAGGTCAACGCCGACGTCTAGACATTGTTTCTCTTTTTCTCTCAAATCTGTTCAGCGAGAGAAGAAAGAGAAACAAGGACAGATGAACAATATACATCACAATCAATTTTATGCCTTGGAAAATCAGTGCTTCTGAGAAAAGCACGAAAAAAATTCCACAATCATTCGTCTATTAATACGAGAGTCAATAAGTGAATATTAAGTTTAAAGATGTGTGCGGATGATGAAAATAAAAATAACATTTATAATGAGCACGCAAAAAATAACAAAAATATATTCTATGTTGATTGATTTATATAAAATGTGTATGCATGAAATAGAATGAAATATGCCATACGCAAAAGTGCTTTCGTCATAAGCGAAATGGAATATAATCTATATTGTTAAGATCTATAGAATATTGATATTCTATAGAGAATTTATTTAGAACTGAAATCAACGTTCACATTTTCCTTTTATTCACTACTTGTTATTTTGGGGATATAATAGCAAGTAAAGATAAACTTATAATAAATAGTTTAAACCAAATATAAACTTGGCTAAGACACAGTCTCTTATGCGCCATTCAAAAAGTTCAGAAGCTTATTTTACTCAAGAAGCTATAGAAAACCTTTCGATTGAATACTACTACCACAATAAAATTGTGAAAGAGATCGTTTGCAAAATCCGAACGAACTCAAGTGGATCACTGTTATGAGATTTCAACTGTCACTCTTCTTTTAGTTAGATTACTTTTCTTGGTTACACTTTTGATTTTTAGTGTCATCTATCAATCAGCTTACTTATTGATCCACATTTCAGCTTTTGAAATATCTAATAATTTTGAATATGGCAAAAATTCACGTGCACGTTTAAATAAATAAAGTAAATAAACATAATAATATAATGCCTAGAAAGAGTACATGATCCAATTTATAAGGGACAAAGATTTACTCTTCAAGATAACTCTGTTCACAAAAGAAGAATGCTTGAAGTGGAAATTACTCAACAGCGTTCCATTCATACAGCAAAATGGGAAATTGTACTTGGTAAGTATAAAATCTCGATTTAATGAATAATTATTTCCTTTTTTCTTTATTTATCAGGTATGAATTTATATCAGGTTATTAAACTACTGAAACTGAATGATGATCAAGTAAAATCAGTAACATTAGTTTACAACGATAAAGTAGGTTTGATATTGAACTTGCGCGCTGTCCTCGTTGCACTATATTGAAAAGAAAGTGTAATATAACCATGTAATAACTATTTGACTACGTTTATCTTTGCCAGATTTCTGACGACTCTCTTTTACCGTTTGGTCTAACCATTATCTCGATTAATTTTAGGATCCATTGAGTGCCGATTACACATTGAATTTATCAAATGATAGCATTCTTTTGCATTTTGACTCTGTCACACGTCAAAGTCTTAAAGTAATAAGTATTCAGTTGAAAAAATACCCAATATTTTGAACTAAAACTAATATATTTATTCTGTCTGTTTTCTAGTTGATTGAATTATATGACCTAAAAAAAGTTAAATTGAAATACTTGTAAGTATAGCTCTTGGTCTGTCACAGGCTTGAGAGTGAGTAAAGTTGAGTTTTATGGTCTTTTTCTTATGGATGATTCGAAGAACTTTTTATGATTTCAAAAAGTTTTCTTCGTTATCAATACCAGAACACCGAGATTACTTCTGTTTCACACATTGTAGCTTTTGGCATACACTACATTTTGATGCCTCTGATATTCAAATTTAATTCTATTACAGTGGTCAGTGCTTTAACAGTCCACAAGTTATTCCTACTATTGATATTGTCAACAGTGTTTTTGGGCCTACACGTCCGGGAGGTAACACTTATTTGTACTAATTCTAAAATCACTTAGAATACATACACTTGTCTTTGCTTATATAGATTATAATCGTGAAAGCCAGTCGTTTTTGATGCATTTTCCTGGTTTAACATTTTTTTTCAATCAAATTGGACCACAAGTTGAAGTAAGTGTAGTTTTTTACTTGAAGCATTTTGACTTTAAAAATTCTAATTTTTTTGTCAATCATTTATAACAAATACTAAATTATATATTTTGTTTTGAGATAAAGTACTGATTTAGTTGACTGCTGGATGTGGTAGTGATTTTGAACGTTTTTTGCTTTTTGCAGGCAAAATCAATGCATGGACTTAGTTCATTACAATTTCCTGATGGTCAATCACCGGTTGTCAGTAAAATTTATATTTATGCTGGAAATGTTCCTCTTGAATTTATGTAAGCTTGTTTAAAAACTAATTATAATTAATACATTACTTTTATTATTTTTTTCATTATTTATTTTCAGTGTTCCTCCATTACCCGTTCAGTGTTTTAATCGTTCAGTATTTCTTGACAAACTAAGTAATTTAACCGAAAATCAAAAGACAATTGGTATTGCTTGTCGACTAATTGTGGAAGGTAATTTTAAAAATAGTGAGAAATAGTCATTTTCAAAACAAATGTACCTTCCACATTTTCTTCATTTTCTAGCACATGCAGCAAAATCCTATGATGCTGATAATCATGCTGATTATCTTGATGCCACTGTACATTTTGACGATACATGTCAGGTATTATATTCTTTATTCTAATAACAGTAAGTTATTAGAAAATTATTGAGAGTACCATTTTAACATTCAAATAAATCAGAGTACTCTTCATTTTTGTAGTGTGAACGTCTTGTTTATTTATTACTCGTATTTTGTTCATTTAGGATGTTTTATCTGTTATTGGTAGTCCAAATGGTGTTTACTATAAAACAGAAGATAAAATAAAAATTCATAATCCATCGTCAATCAATTTATCTACTCAGAGAAGTCAAGAAAATTCAGACTATTTTTTTAATTATGTTAATTTTGGATTGGTATCTGATTTTTTTCATAATTGAATGTATAGAATTTTTTTTGAAATTTTTTATTCGTTATAGGATATTTTATTTGATGGAATGAATCATACAGTGAAAAAATTTATTTTACATACTAATTTTCCTTGTCATTATTTATTTGATAGGTAAGAATAACTTTTCAAGAAGGTCTCGATCATTAAACTCTTTTTCTTTTCTAGTTATTTTCCATGTAATTTTGAATTAACTGTTAAAAATTATTCAACAGGAAAAGATCTGATCGTTACGCCATCAACACGGGTTTGTTTAATTGGTATATTACTAATAATAAGTTGTTTAATGTGTTGTTATTTTGTTTAGTGGCCTGCCATACAAGAAATATTTGATAAGCATTTGAAACCATGTATTTTAAATCGTTCATCATCTATAAATACTACAAATCCATTTGGTCCAACATTTTGTCATCTTGTCAATGATATGATATTTGAAGTAATGAATAATGGTTATTGTGCATCCGTTATATTCATTAATCATAAAGACTAAGTTTTAAATCAATCCTTCGTAACCATAGCATGTAAGGAAATGAATTTTTTTATGAAAATTTTTCTTTTTGACGGATATTTTTCTTTTTGTAAATACGTTTTTTTGTACATTAGATTTTCTAACTTCATCGTTCGTTGGTATATTTTTCCTTACAAAGGATAAAAAAAAAGACATATTGACTTCAATAAAGTTTTATTTTCATTTTGATCGACCAATATTCTCCATCTTTTCATACTTTTATCCGCCTATGTGAAAAACGCGCTTTAGTTATTGTTAGTACCGATTCAAGCAGATCACCAAAAAGAAGATGACATTAAAAGTTTAGTCCCGCGTATAAGATAGAAGACTCGATCGATATACTGATTAGTATTGCTGAAGGTAAAATGACATTTGTTTTTGAACGGGAATGGAAAAAAAGTTGTAAATCGTTTGAGGAAACTACTTAATGATATAGATAACATAAGTACTGTTGTTCTAAGATGAGCTGGTGTTCAGTGGCTTTACTATCCATCCATTAGAAAAACATTATTTTTGCACATTTGATAATTAAAAAAATAAGGATTAATTATTGTTGTATCGTCAGTAGTTTATGACCCAGTGTAAGTCAAATAGGTCCTGACCGATTGTAAGTATCAAGTATCTTCTTCTTCCAAGTATCCACGTACCTTACTTCATGTTTTATTTTTCTTGAATACTTTGATTGGTCCAAAAAGAAGTTATTCAGATATATTCGATAGTCAAAAAGGTAAGTTTCATCCACGTCTTCTTAAAAACTGCGCACATACATACAGTACTGCCCAAAATTGCAGATAGTACACTAATTTAGACTTTTGGGGAAACACAAACTCTAGAAACTAAATCCTAGATCCTGACCACAAAATAATAAAATTTAAGAAATTGACTGTCATTATGTTCGAAACTTAGTCCATGGGTCATTTATTGTCAGAATTCATTCAGAAATTAATCTAATCCATAGTCAATCATTGTTAGTAAACCACTACGTGATAAAAAATTTATTTCAACGTAGTATTCGTCGCACTATCGATCGTCATCGAAAGAAAATGAACAGCAACTGTTAAAGTCAAATAATAATGTAGAAGATTTTTCTTTAAGCTTTACAAGGATATTTCAAAGGTGCATGTGTCCTTATTCATCAAAATAATAGTTTTGAATTTTACTTTACGCTTTCTAGTTTTTTATCGGAGTTCAAAATTCAGCTCATTAAACACCAAAAAGGACGTAAGGAACTTTTAGCTACCGGTTATGTAAAATTTGGCTTCATAAAAATATGTCAACCGTTTGTTAGGTACTGATAGTTTATACATACAAAACATTATTGTTTAAAGCCAATGGAACCTGTATTTTCTTTAGCAATGGAATATAATATTTCAACATTTGCCATCTCTAATCTTTAGCTTGCGATACTAATTTTTACAGTTGTACTTTAGTTCTACACAGGTATTGAAAATGAAAAACAAATGTGGAGAAAGTAGTCTAACACATACTTAGTATGATTTAAACTATCGTGATGAATATTATCTTTTTTTTTAATCAACGAATTTGTTAGAATGGAAATAATTTATTTTCAGGAATTAATGGCATTAACAAGCAGCAAAAAACACTAAAATTTTTTTAAAAGCTAATTAAAAATAATCTGGTTTCCAGCCATTAAATGGTCATTATCAAGACTAGAGTTAAACAAGATAAAAGTTTTCTGCTATAGGCAGCCATAAACATATCCAGGCTGGCCAGATCTTCTGATTTTTCAGAAATTTTCTGATTTTGAACACTTTTTCTGATGGCTTTCTGGTTTCTGATTTTTTCTGATTTTCCTGATTTTCATTTCTTCTGTTTCA